CAGCTCAAAGGGAAGGAAACACTTAACAGAACTTTTCTTTAAAATGGAAGCCCTCCATAGCAGTATTTTTATTTACTTGAGAAATACAAAGCCCAAGTAGAAAATGCCAGAAGAAAATGAGAGCAGCTGGGTCTCTGGAGCTACAGAAAGAAGGAGAACATGGGCTTACATCCTTCCGTAAAGGTCAACAAGTAATTGATTTTTTTTTTCTGTTATACATTAATACAACAAAATATTTTTTGGAAATCTTTTATGCAAAGGAATTTACCAGTATATATTTTCCATGACTCAGAAATAGGGAATCAAGTGTACATTAATTTGGCAAATACCTGTCAATACTACCCTGCACAATTACTTCTGATGCAAATATTGCTAAGATATCCTGAGAAAGGTAAATACCATTCAGAACAAACCGATTTCACCTATCTAATTCATTCATATAAGTAGTTGTATATAATAAAAATTCAATGCTAATTAAATTAATAATCATTAAAATAAGAAAAATAGGTGTGTTAAGAGCTATGCCGAAGACCTATTCTCAACATAACGTAAATTAAGATTTCCCAACATAACTAGGCTATTTCAATCACCTGCAGGCCAGAGTGGATTAAGACTTACATAACTAACCAATTACTGCAGATGCTCTGTCATTCACACTAGGCATTTATACTAAAATAAACCCTTTTGATCCAATCGCTCCTCCACTAAAATCTCAAAAGGCCCCTAAAGTGATCTCTACCCACATATTAATTTCGCTATTAATACGATTTTCATTTAACCTACATTTATGTGAGGTATATTTCAGAGTAAGTTTTCCATAAAATTAAAAATATTCATTAACATATAGAAAGTAGTCAGACTACATAGCTGTAACACAAGAAGACAAATTGAAAATAACATTATGAATACAAGTCATGTTATCTATTATCATTGTATAATGAGACTAGCCAAAGAAACATCACAAGCCATCTCAATAAAATCTGACTTCATTTCATGCTGGTCACATATTTTGGTAGTAGAGTCATTCCACACTAAATTGGCACATCTGAATATACTGTGTTTAGAAGTTTTCTCTTTTACTAATAATCATATAGCTATAACAAGGGGTATATATTTTTTAAAAGATTATAACACTAAAAAAAGGTAAATATACTGTATATCCAAGAACAAATATCCTTTAACATTTAAAAGTCACTATGTCAATGAGTATCAGAAGTTGTAAGCTTACAAGACACTGAAACACCCATTGCTAGAACGTTTGGAAGAGAGAAAAAGAAAAGGTAGGGGACCAACAGATGGTGTAGTGGTTACTATATTGCTGGTCTCCCACGCAGTCAACCACGGTTTGAATCCAGGATCAGGCAGTGTAAAAGTCACGCCAGGTGCACGTATGTGTGTGCGCACAAAATCCCAAGAGGAGACTGGAGGAGAAGGGACTGTGGCATGGCCATACCCTGGGGGGGGGGATGATTTCTTGCTTTCTGTCTCTCTGTCTCTTTTTCCAGTGATTGCTCACTGCCTATAGCAAAAATCTCTCAAAGAAGAAAAACGAAAAAGGTAGGAAGTGAAGAAAATATCTATTAAAAGAAAATATCTGTTATAGTCAAAACGAAATTTCTTCTTTATGCTTCCTCTCTTTTTGAGAAAATGCACAGCATTATGTTAATAAAAAATGAGAATGGAATAGAGTATACTTCACTCATCCTATAGCTGTACAGGTCTTCAATTTTATTACTTTTATAAATTTAAATACAGATTAATAACCAGAAATGATAAAAATCTACAAAAAAAATGTAGAAGCTTCATTAATCATCAAGCCTTTGACTCCACTAAGACTGCATTTACAAGTTGATCCTTCATCATTCTTTGTCTCCAATGATCTAACCCTTCAGGAAATGGTCAACTTTCTAACACAAATTTCAACATAATCCCAATAAAAGCTCAAATTCCACCCAAAACCACTTAATTGCTCTCTCTCTCTTTTCAATGCTAAAGTGAAACAATGTTAAAAATTAAATTATGCAGAAGTGTGCCATGGTCAAAGTCATAAGTGTAGGCTAATTTCGGTATTTAAAATTTCGGTGTTTAAAAAAGCTTATTAAGTTAGGCTGGCTAGATTGCTTTACTTAAGGAATGGATTTGAAGATCAGATTTGCTCTCAATGAACAGAAACCTTAAAAAGAAAATGCTTTATTATGCTCAATCATAATTTTCTAATTTCACAATTTAATGTGATAACCTGATGTTGTGCTATACTGACACATCTGAGGAAACTGCCTTCTCCCTATAAGGGGGTTGTTCTGCTTTGCTTTTAAGCATTCTGAGAAAAAGCAATTTTAAGTGGCTTTTTTAAAAAGTCAAATGACAATTTACGCTTTTGTATGTAAAAAGAAGGGAAGTGAAGTTATTAGTAGCACTAATATTATATCAAAAGTCAGCAAGTCAGCATTCAAACAAGTTGTGATCTCAACATTTTGATTTGCTTACTGATCACTCAGGGTCACTGGTCATAGCTGAGGTTTGCCTAAAGCATGTAACATATAGAGAAGAGAAAGCAATTTCAGTTATATCAGAGCTGTTGTTTGGAAACAAAAGGCTAATTCAATGATGGTTAGAAAAGAAACATTGTTTCAATTTATTTGGATGAGGCTTTGTTCTGGGTAATCATAGTTCCCAGTGCTCAATTAATGCTATAAGATAAAAATTTTCAAACCTTACCAAATAATCCTGCTTGAAGCATTACCTCTTTTTGTTCAGATGCAGACTAATTATAATTTCAAACTACACAGTAGCATAAAAATAATCATTTCAATGGCTATTTAAAAAACTTCTAAACAGCGATGTCATCATGGCCTTGCCTATCTCCATTAGGTTGTTACCGGGCAGATTAAAAATATGTGACGCTAATTCGTACATCATAAAGTACTATAAAAGTTAAAGTATCAAAATTACCTAGTGACTTAACAGTAACTATGTTCATTTAAGATTTATACTCCCTAACCTAGAGCTCATTTTATAGAGCTTAATGAAAGCTCAGAATGAATGGAAAATAAGTTTTGTTCCATGCCCCCCCCCCTTTTTTAATAAGGGAAATGAAAACAATACATGTTGATTATCAGGACAAAGTGCATTAATAATCCCCAAGAGTTTCTTTTCTAAGATGTATTTTTTTGTACAATCGCAGGTTTCATAAGTCAGTTTAATAGTTTCCTACAAATCTTGACTGATAGGCATGGCAATTGTGCTGGAAAAAGAAATGTTACACTATAAAGATATATGTGATTAAATGTAATATAAAATGAATAAATAAATAATAAAACAAAGATATCACTTCAACCAAACAAATAAACATGACTAATAATAGGACAAGTAAAAAAAAAAAAGTAGTTTCCTACAGATAGCTTATTCAAATTAACTGTACTTCAAGACAACCAAATATCTGACTGCCATTGGCAAAATTTTTGAGATTTGAAAAGTTTAAAACACAGCATGTGTGTAACATTTAAAATGTTTATGCAATAAGAAACATCTCAAATCTCCTTATTGAAACATTTTAAACCTTTAATTTAGAAAGACAACAATAAAAAGCTGAAGTAGCATTCTTCTGTGTAAAAGATCATTAAACAACAGATTAGCAAGGAATTTGCATTAAGAACCATGTCCCCCCCCCCCACTTTGGATACGAAACTACTATCTTGAAAGAAAAATGGAATATAGCTTATATCTAAGTCTAAATTTTTTCCCTAACAAGAAAAGCTTCCTACACAAAGGGAAAAGAAAAGCACCTCAGTGTTAGGATACTTTTTATAGAAAAGTATTTTAAAGAGATTTAAATCCTCTATGACTCATTAATAGGAAAAGTAACTACTGCTAATATTTGGGGAAAAAAAACTTCAAATGGTTACATTCACATAAATCGCTATGTCTACCATGCCTTCCTCGAAAAAGAAAACAACACTAATTCGTCGATGGCATGTCGCTACAATCCATGTTTTTATGTTTTTTTTTTCACACCTCAAGTGGATATACAATCCATCATTTATCGGAATTGGGGATGGGGTACTGCTTAGATAATGACTAACACATTTATCTACATTTAGAACTTTTCTCTGACAACTCAATTTTAATGGACCTTTTTAAAGTCAGACAGATAAATGTCAGTATACTTCTAAGTGAGGAAAAAGGAGAGAGAGAAACAAATTAAAAGGCAGCTGAGATCTGAAGCTTAACAACTCTGACCATCAGTTCATCTGCTTGAGAACTTGCAGGAATATTTTAAAGTAAAATTCTATTTATTCTGCACTATGTTGCCACCAATTCCTTTCTTAAAGAGACTGGCTGCAGACATAACCTGTCTACTTGAGGCGGGGAACCCTGTGAACAAAACCTGTGTCTAATACTATGGGCTGGCACACTTTGCACACCAACGCTTGGTGATATCAAAACTTGAATTCTTCAACAGAAGGTCCCAAGAGAAGAACAGAGCTTCCTGGTAATACTTGTAATTTTTTTAACTTTAATATCAAACTAACACTTTACAAAGTACACATACAGCAGGACAACTTCTGTACGTAAGGTATTAAGGACTATTTTTTTTTTTTTTTAGAATTTAAAAGCATATTCTAAAACAACTAAATCAACACGCGCAATAAATATACTGTATTATGAGACATGACCCTCTCCTGGTTTATACAACTTATCTTTATGATACCAGTTAGTAAGCTGTATTATTTTAAAGTGTTTAAATAAAATCTCCAACCACTGGACAGTGAGATACTGAACATCTCTACAATATTCAAGGAAAAAAAACTTAAAATAGTTATGTACAGAAAAATCTTTTAGGTTGTCTATCTTACCCACTTTTAAAAGAGTACTCAGACTGACTTCTATGAAAAAATACATAAATCCTAGGAGCACACATAAAGATAAATGAATATTTAAATCTGTCAGTCTATTTTAAATGTACTATTCTTGCAAAATAGAAAAAGCTTTAATCTTACCTTGAGTAGCCATTGGAAAAAACTGATCGGCCAGAGAAGTTCAAAGTTCCCAAGGAAGTCAAGTTCTCATCTCCAGATCCTTGGCACCTATTCCAATTTTCTGAACTAACAGGAATTGGTGGAATGACATTAAAAATGGGCTTCTGATCCTGCTGTTGAGAAAGGGTTGCTGTATTCATGTCGTAATGGTACATCTGTCCTCCAGAGGTACTCACACCATGAACAGAAATGGCAGACATTTTATTACCGATTATATTTGCTCCGGAAAAGTTTGCCTGACAGTAAACTGGGCCCAGTTTCTCTTGCTTAATTACTCCAGGGGTGCAGAGTTCGATGAAATCTTCTTTTTCAGTTTTCACTTGGGGCAGTGGTACACTCTTGGGGCTCGATAAAATCAGATCTCCATTATCCTTAATTTTAGGTTTAGTGTCCGGTAAAATGAGAGGCTTGCAGTCCTCCTTCAAATTTCCTTCCGAAAGGAATGGATCATCCTCGACTGCCAAAGGAGAAAGCAAACAGTTTTCATCTAGCAACAGGTCTGATCTCCAAGGGCTCTCATTTGTCTCTCTACCTGGGGACGCAGAAGAAAACTCCAAATCCTGCAAAATATCAAAGGTGCTTTGGTCTGCAGTACACAACTTCACATTGCCACCGTTGGTGCCAGTCTGGCCCTTTAAATTTTGTTGTTCCGAAGATACATCAGAGGGAGTTTCTGGGAGTTCTTTCTCTAGGAGGGCAGCAGATACAGCAACAGATGCTGAGATCTTGGGGTGCTCTGGAACACTGGTCGACCTATTGAGGTTTGCGATGCTTTCTTCCAGAAGCTGCAAGTTTGTTTCCCCAGAGGAAAGGCTGATTTGGCCCTGCTGTGGGAATCCCAGGTCATTTCCCATCACTTTTGTTTCTGTTTCTCCCATATATAATCCCATGGAGAGTGAAACTGCTTTGGACAGATCTGGCTGCTGCACATTGCTTACTGAACCTTTTGGAAAATCAACCAAAAGTCTTTGCTGCTTGGAGTCTGACTGAGAAGTAGCAGCCAGTGAGGGTGAAGGCGTAGAAACCTTGACAGTAGCTCCTCCCCTTCGGGTTTTATAGAAGTCCATCACATTTCCTCTCTCCTGACCATGCACACTGCTGGGGATTTCTTCACTGGGGGAGGTTAATGATTCTTTGGAATCCATCAGTGATTATGAGCTACGAAAAGAAAAAGGAGGGGGGATATTATAAGCTGTGTAAGTCACATTATCTCTGTGATACAATCCATAAGAGACAGCCCATTAAATGAACCTTTTAGTTAATTCCAAATCAAATTCTTTATTATCAGAGAGTAGTTTTAATCTTCCAGAATAAAAAGCCACATCCCCGTTCCCATTCAGTGTGCCACATTTAAAAGTACAATGCAGTCCATTGGCACAGCTGAGGACAAAACTATATCGAACTAAGCTTGGCTATTCATCCTGCCACCCACTGAACGAACGTGTAGCTTTGTTAATCAAAGACATTATAATTTATTACATCTGATTATTTTAAAGAATCAAGTTGATGCCAGAGTATTTCACTTAAAAAGTATGATCATTCCAATTCTTACCTCTCTCCAATCGCAACTGTTTGCTTTTCTGAGAATCAATACATAACATTTGATAAATACTGTGCTCGAATTCTTAATTCCTGATTACTCCCAAATTCCCCTCCTAACAAAGAATCACACCTCCAACCCTTTCAGAACAACTTCACTGGTGAAACACGTACATTTTATTTGAAAAATAAACAATCTTCTAATAGGCTGGGAAAAGGTTCTTATTCTTAACCCGTATTTCTAACTGGATATGCCTGTCCAAGAGTGCCTACTTTTAAACTGTAGAAGTGTGAAATGAGATATATAGTACACAGACCAACTAAGATGTAAATGTTTAAAGAATCAGACAACATGCAGTAGCTGCTCAGGCAATTTTAGCTTATTTAAATGTAACTTAAACATAGCTGTCTATCGTAACTTGCAATAATACCTAGATCTAGATTAAGCTATGCTTATCTTTTTAAATTACTTTAAGACCCCAGTATGAAGTATTGTTTACCTGTGAAAGAAAAATTTTCCTTTCCGAATACTGAAGTACTGAAAAACAGAAAAACTCAGAAACAGAAAAACCCATCTAAATCTGGGTAAAACCGTAACCAATAAAAACGCTTAGAATAATTTTCTCTGCATTCTAAACCTTCACTTATCCCAATTCTGAGCCCATTTTCAAGAGGCTTAGGTTGCTGGTATATTGTTAATAATCAGGATGATCTAAGAGACGGACAAAGACTTTGATAAGCACATTTAGGACATGATAGCTAAAGCCAGTCTAAAAAGGAAACTTTCCCTGTAGGAAGACTCTAAGAAGCAAAAACGGTAAGAGTCCTCACCGAAAGAGGACTATGATGAAGATGGAAGAGGGATAGGGACCAGCGACTACACATTTTGAAGGTAAACCGCTTATCTCTCGGCCCCTTCGCCTTGTTTATATGATAGCGATCTCTAAACAGGTATCAAATGAAGCCTAATGAATTTCCACGCCGCTTTTTTGACAGCTGCCTTCAAACCCGAAACCAAAACAATGCTTCATAAAACGAAACGCTCCCTCAAGCGACATTATCACCCAGTTTAAACTGCAAATAACCCTGTTACATTAACGGGTCCCTAAGAATCATGCCACGGGGTCTTAAGTGGTATTACAAGGCTGCAGTTACCAAGTCTGAAACCCCAAACGTCAAACAAGCACTTGTCAAAAATCGCACCACGAAATGATTACGAATTAGGGAGGGTCTTTTTCTAAAAGGGGTCACTTAGGAACGTCACGCGCGAAGTGAAGCCAAACGCTGCAGAACAAGCCCTGGGGCAGGGGGAGTGCGAGGTTGAGAGAGAAATGTGTCCAGACCTGTTGCGTTCTCTCCGACACGCCCACTTCTACCAGATAACACCAGCCCTGGCCGAAGTCTCCAAGTTGCAGGCTGTCAGCCCCCTGCGTGTGAACACACACACTCGCACACGCACACACCCCTCGCACACTCGCCAGAAACCAGGCGCACTGGAGCCTCGACAGGAACCCTGATCACGCTCGGGGGCACTAGGGCGGAGTGGAAATATTCGGGCGAGTAGAATTTAGACGCGGCGGCTTAGCGTTTACCATAAAAATGGGTGTCTGGGCGGCCCCCGACGAGGGAAAAGACAGGGTGACTTGGGGGAAGGAAAAGCCAGGATTCCCACCCGGGGACCAGAGGCAGCTGGACAGGGCTCCTCGCGCATTCAGGGCTCAGGTTCCTACCCAACGACCCAGTCGGGGGACGGCGGCGGCGGGAGAGGAAGAGGCCAGTGCTGTCACCCGCGCGCTGCCCTTTCGTCACCGGCCCCCGGCTCTCGCCGGCCCCCACCCCCACT